AGTTTGATGAAATAAAATTATGTACTTTATGATTGAATATTCAACAAACGTTCACCCCTAAAAAAATTCCCTGGGTGCCCACCCTCATGAAGTATGCCTCCAACCTCTTTTTCAGTGATTTCCAATGTCTCCTTATTGCCCTCAAGATCAAACATATAATGGTCTGTGTAGCTTTCAAAGCCCTGACCAAAGAAGACCTGGCCAGTCTTCTTCTGTCTTCGGCCACCCCACCCAGGTACTCTACAATCCAGCATTTCGGGTCTCCTCGCTCTCCCTTTCACAAGGTACCATCTCTGGTCACCAGATGTACTCACTGGCTGTCTCCAGACCTGGAGTGGTTTCCCTCGTTTCCGCTTCCCAACTTTCTTCAAGACTTGGCCAAAGTTTCATCTTCTACAAGAAGCCTTTCCCAGTCCTCAATCTTAGTGCCTTTCCTCTGAGATTATCCCCAATTTGTATGCTTGTATACGTACATATATATTTATATATAAACACATTTTATGCATTTATATATATGTATATATCTGCTATATGTATGTATGTATGTGTGTATATATGTATGTGCATATATGTGCATACATACATGTATTCATGCATATACACACACACACACATAAACCCCAGTCCCAAAGCCCACTAAGATGAGATACTCTTTTCAATGGAGGAGATCAGTGCCCTCAGAATTGTCAGAGAACAGAAGGAGCTCTCTTCAAGCTCTGAGTTGCTTCAGGTTGCTTTGGGCACTTTTGGCTTCCAGCTTTGAAAGTGAAGATGGAAGATGCCAGGCCCACTTCAGGTTGTTGAGACTCTGGAAAGAAGCTGACATGAGGGGATCCGAAAGTGTCCATCATGTCCCTCTCACCAGCTTGCTACACTAGAGACTTTTGGAACTTTCCTTTGGATGAGAGCTGGGTCTCTCTCTCTCTCTCTCTCTCTCTCTCTCTCTCTCTCTCTCTCTCTCTCTCTCTCTCTCTCTCTTTCTTTTTCTCTCTGTCTCTGTCTCTGTCTCTCTGTCTCTCCCTCTGTCTCTCTGTTTATGTCTGTTTATGTCTGTCTCTGTCCCTCTGTCTGTCTATCTGTCTGTCTCTCTCTCCCTCTCTCTCTTTCTCCTCTAAGCTGAGTTACCTAGCTTTGAATGGGAAAGGTCCTTTACTCTGTATTGTCTGTTACATATTCTCCTATGTATAATTTCTCTAATTTCTGTTTTGCTATCCAAATTGGATAAATGAGTTTCTTGGCTAGGTGTGATATGGGTTTAGTGTGGACTGGAATTTAGTGGGAATGGAGTCACTCCTTGGCTATAAAATGTGGAGTTCTGCTTCTACCAATAATGTATCAGCAAGCAGAAGCTAAATTGAACCTGAAAATCACACCCCCAAATTAACAATACTAAGGGAGATTGTTCAGTGACATGTTACTCTTCATGACATCATTAGAGTTTTCTTGGCAAAGATACTGGAGTGGACTGCCATTTCTCCAGCTCATTTGACAGCTGAGGAAACAGGCAAACAGGGTTAAGTGACTTGCCCAGGACCATATAGCTAATAAGTATCTGAGGCTTAATTTGAACCCAGATCTTCCTGACTTCAGGCCCAGCTCTGTATCCACTCCCTGACCACCTAGCTGCCCATCCAAGGAAACAGAGAGATATAATCCTAGCCCAGTATCCCCTCTCTGAGAACATAGTAGTGGCCTCTGGACAACTCCCTGCCTCCCCTCCTGGCAAGAATGAAAATCTGCCTTGGAGAAGGGTAGAAGGAGAGAGACTAGAGATTTCTATTCTGAATCCTCTATGTGTCGGGGGCAGCCCATGTGACATGCGGGGCCTCAATGCATGTACACACACACACACACGTGTATGTATGGTTACACCCTATTTGCCCATTGTTGTTTGAATGTTGTTTCGCCCCACTAGACTGGGGGCTTCTTGGGGTCAGGGACTGATTCTTGCATTTCTTCTGTGTTCCCAGTACTTATTGTAGAGCCCTGAACACAATAGGTGCTTAATACTTGTTGGCTGACTGACTAACCCCTGTGCTTCTCAGATGTGGTAAGGAATCTTTTCTGGTTATACATTGGACCAGATGGCTGCTAGAATTACTTTTAGCTCAAAAAACCTTAACTACAATTCTATGACCTCTTTCCGGGGCTGTTTTCTCATCTATGAAATGCGAGTTGAGGGTTGGACTAGATGATTTTTTTTCTTTCTTTCTTTCTTTTGTTTTTTTTTTTTGGGGGGGGGAATCAGGGTTAAGTGACTTGCCCACGTTCACATAGTCAGTAAGTAAGTATCTGATGCCAGATTTGAACTTGGGAAGATGAGTCTTCCCAACTCCAGGCCGGACACTCTATGCACTACGGCGCCACCTAGCTGCCCTGCACTAGAAGGTCTCTTACATCTTCCTGAAGGGTGTGAGCGTGGGGAAGAGGCTGTTGGATACTTGCTTGGCTCAGGGGTGGAGCTGTTATAAAGTCATGGTGTGATGCATCCGAGCACCGAGGGGTAGGCTCCCTGAGAGCCACTGTCCGTCCCCCGGTGCTGAGGAGCGCTGAGGGAAAGGCGGCTTCAGAGCATTGACCCAGATCCTCAGCACCCTGGGAACGGCTCCAACACTGGACAAGGAAACCCTTAATCAGCTACGGGACCCACAGTCAAAGCAAAGACCAACTCCGTGAGAGGCTGCTGGCCAAGGCGAGGAGGCGTGGCTGACGTGGGCCGGCAACGTCAAGGCGAAGCAGTATTCACCTACCCGCCTGCACTTCAGGACTGGAAGGAACTGAGAAGGCAGGGAAGGAAAGGGGAGAGGGCACAGAGGGAAGAGGCAGAGCCTTCTCCCCATGCCCCATCCTCCACCACAGATAGCACTTACATTTTAAAAGTGGCACGCCCAAAGGAATGAATCACTAATGGTAGAATGTCCAACTCCATGCCAGGGGAGAAGTTGGGGGAGGGGAAATGACAGTGTTTTGGGGTGAGCCTGTGAGGAGCTCTCAAATCACAACTAATCCTTGAATCCAAAGAGCAGGAGGCTAACACCTTATCAGAGAGAGGAGAGAATGTGGTGAGATGAATGAGCTACTTTGGGAGTGAGCTCTCTGTCACCGGAGTTCTTCAAGCAGAGTCCAGCTGACTACATGTCAGAGAGGCTTCAAAAGGGATTCCCGCTTCAGGGAGGGCTCTAACAGCCTCGGAGTTTCCTCCAAGTGGAGCAGGCTCTAAATCTTACTGTTTTTAAATACTTCCTATAGATGGAGACAGGACTGGGCCTGGAGTCAAGAAGATCTGAGCTCAAATCTGGCCTCAAACACTGGGTTGTGTGCCCCTGGACAGATCATTTAACCTCTGCCTGCCTCAGTTTCTTCAACTGTACGATGGAGATAATAATAGCATCTACCTCCCGAGGTCGTTGTGAGGATAAAATGAGATATTTGTAAAGTGCAGTCACTTGATAGTTGCTTCCTTCCTTCCCTGATGCTTAATTCATTAAGATAATGTGGGCCGTTTCTAATTTTTAAAAAGGTAAGGCATGAAGGGAGTGCCCCAATGTCCTGGACTGGGAATCAGGAACCCCAGTCTGGCTTCGCCTCTAATCAGCTGTGTGGCCTCAGACAAATGACTCTACTTCTGGCTCTCAATTTCCTTATGTGCGAAGTGAGGGGATGGATTTATTGAGCAATGCCAGCTGGAAGTTATGTCTCTAAGGCAGGCCTGCTGTAGCTGTGGTCAAGGCTACCCTCAGAACAGCCCCACACTTTACCCAGGTTGGGGCCACCACCCTCTTGGCTCCCTTCCTGTTTGCTTGTGGACTTTAAGTGATGGGGTGGGACAAGGGTAGAGAAGGGAGAACGTGTCCCTTGGGGGTAGCTAGATGGTACAGTGATGGAGAAATGAGTCCAGATTTGGCCTTGGACATGCTGGCTGTGTAACTCTGGGCACTTAACCTACCTGGCCTCAGTTTCCTTACCTGTAAAATGGGGATAATAATAGCACTTCCTTCCCAGGGTTGTTAAGAGAAAATGAGAGAACATTTATAAAGTGCCTTCAACCCTTAAAGCTAGCTGTAAGGCTCAGATTGTGAAAGCATTCAACGTGGACTAGGAGAAAGTTTTCCACCAGGGCTTTTGGTCTGTTCTTATTCCAATCCAATTAATCCTTATTGGGCATCTGCCACGTGCAAGACCCCGTTTGTGGGCCATTCACAGCATCGGCGCTGGAAGGTTGCTAGGTGCAGGTGCGGGACTGTTTCTTCGTTTAGCCCGGCTTTGGCCTGACTTGAATCACTGGGGTATTGGGGACGGGACAGAGTTGGCCATTTACAAGGAAGTCCCTGAGGTGAGTAGGTTTTATTGTGGTCCCTCCCCGGGATTCCTTCAGCAGCTCCCAGCCTCCTGGGCCACAGGGATCAGAGGCCCCCATCACTCAGACCAGGAAAGCAGCAGCCATGTCCAGCCTCGGTGACCCTGATGGCTGAGGGCTCTAGAGCGGCTGACGGTTCCACCCCATTTCTAGCGGTCACCTGGACTTTCAGCTGTCACACTGATAGGATTAGATAAAATTGTGAGATGTTTGACAGGGATCTGCTTTCAGGGCTCATGACAGGCCTTCTCCTCATCAGACCAAAGGAGGAAAGGACTGTTAGCCCCACCCATTCTGGTTTCCAAAGATAGCAGGGTCACCAAAAGGGTAGGTAAAAAGACTGGGGAAGACAGAGAAACACAGGTAGGGATACGTACGTTAGGAAGCCAGAATGGAGCCTGTGAAAGTGAAGAGGTGATGGAGACTGCCACTCAAGACAAGCTGTCAGGGCAGCTAGGTGGCTGGCCTTGGAGGCAGGAGGACCTGAGTTCAAATCCAGTGTCAGACCAGACACTTGACACTGTGACCCTGGGCGAGTCACTAAACCCCAATTGCCTTGCAAAAAAAAAAAAAAACCAAAAACAAAGACAAGCTCTCACCCCCTCCCAAACCCTGGCCCACGCAAGGCTCCAAGTCAGGCCAATGTGAGTACAAAAGGCTTTCTTTATTGGGTTCTGAGTACAGAGCAGGTACTGATCCAGGGTCAGCAGTTTAAATATGGGGTAAGCAGATGGGGGCGAGAGGCGGGACAGGCCAGTCATTTCACTTTGGGCTGGGAATCCTTGCTACGGGGCCTGGGCCCCATGCTTTGCCCAGAAGGTTAGTGAGGAGGGGGCAATGGGACCAGCCTGCATTAGGGCCCTGGCAGGCCAAAGGGGCACCCCACACCTGGGCAGGAATTGAAGGCACAGGGCACAAAGTCAGGGCAGCCTGGGGTGTGCTGGGGCTGTGACGTGGCCACCAAGGCAGGAGGGGAGGCGGTCAGTGCCCTTCCTCCCCACCATTCCTGTACCCTTCAGGCCTGGGCCCGGCGCCTCAGGCAGGGGGGAGGCAGCTGCCTGGGCCTCACTTCTTCACCTTGGAGTCATAGGTTCCTGCGTGCTTGTAGGCGCTGACGTAGCCGCTGTCATCCAGAATGTCTTGCCGCCCCGCGATGCCCTTTCCTTTGCCGCTTTCGTCAAAGCGTTCCTTGTGGGAGCCTGTGTACTTGCTGGTGTCGGTCAGCCGTTCCACAGCCCCTCCTGTTTTGGCTTTCTACCCAGAGTCAAACACGAGGTGCTCAGTGTGGGACGGGGGAGAGGGGAGCACCCACAAGCCTGGCAGGTTTTCCCCATCTCCTCCCTCCCCCCATGAGGCATTCCCCTAACGCTTGGAGGTTGGGAGGGGGCAGGACTGGTCCTGGACTGTGTCAGCCCAGAGGCCATCTGAAATGCCTCTCAGGGCCAACAAAGAAGGGAACCTTTGAGACGAGCGGGACACTCACGGTGACGCCCACGTTGGCTGGCTCTTTGCCCGCCACCAGCTTGCAGATGGCATCAAACGCCTCCTCCTTGCTCTTGCCCTTAAATCTCTTTGCAGCCAGCTCCTCCAGGGCCTTCTTAAACTCCTCATAATTGATGACTCGGGCAGTCTTCCCCCTAATAGGGACACAGGAACACCGCGGGTCCCTCCCTTTCTCCTTTTTCTCCTCTGTCCTTTAGACAGCTTTCTCTCAATGCCCTCTCGTGGCCATGCCATGATCTAAGCAATCACTGAATTGGGGGACTGAACAAAGCCTGAGAAGACATCTAGTTCAACACCACCCCCCCCAAAGTGGCCATAGAGCCTCAGCCTAAAGAGCAGGTCTGGGCACCACTCCCCTCATTCCAATGGCTTTCCCTTACAGCAGACCTGGACCTAGCCTCTGCTTCCCCTTCCCAGGTGCTTTCCAGGGCCCAGTAGAAGAAGGCCTTTCCTGGTCATCCCCACTGCTAGAAGGGAAGTCTTCTTAGGTTTACCCCCACATCAGCTACCCTGAAAATATCTCGTATATACCTAGTCCTTTGCACGTTTTGTCTCCTCCAGTAGACTGTGAGCTCCTTGAGGGCAGGGCTGCCTTTTTCACCTTTCCTTGCATCCCCAGGGCAGGGCATAGCACCTGGCCCACCCATGAGTGCTTTAGGACAATCTTCTACTTGGCTGTCCAGGTGATAGCCTTGAAGACAGCTACCCTATTCTCCCTAAATATTCTCCTCTTTGGGTCAAAACATCCCCATTTCCCTCAAGCAATGACCCCGATGGTCTTATCAAATTGTCTTTGTCAATTTTTGTTGTTCAATCGTTTCTCAGTCGCGTCTGACTCTTCGCGAGGCTTTCTTGACAAAGACACTGGCGTGTTTTGCCGTTTCCTTGTCCCGCTCATTTTATTACAGATGAGAAAACTGAGGCAAGCAGGTTTAAGTGACTTCCTCAGGATCACACGGCTAATAAGTGTCTGAGGCCAGACTGGAACTCAGGAAGATGAGTCTTCCTGACTCCAGGCCTGGCACTCTATTCCATGAGCCATCTAGCTGCCCCCTAATTTGTCGATATTCTTCCTAAATTGTAGAATCCCGAATTCCTGCTTCTTCCTACGCAGTCTAACCAGAGCAGTTCTCGGCAGGACTACTACCATCCCCTCATTTGGAATACTTTGCAGCTCAGTGGAGCTTCAGATCAAATTAGCTTTGTAGACCCCCCAACACATTGAATTTGACTCATACACCATCCACTAAAACACCCAGATCTTTTTTTTTCACAGGAACTATTGTGGAGCCACTCCCCATCCTGTACTTGTGAATTTTATTTTGTGAATGCTGCTTTGGGCTAGGTAGGAGGGAAGAAGGAATCCCACCCCTATCACCCTGCACCAGAGGCCCCCAGGCTCACTTGACTTTGGAGAAGACGATGTCCACATCTATGCCTGTGACGTTCTTGCCGTCAGCAACCTTGCAGTCCTTACAGAGTTTGGCCCAGTTCTTGCCATTCATCTCCTGCCCCGTGGCCTTGGTGTCTCCATGGATGGCAAACTTCCGGAAGCTCTCCTCCAAGCCTTCCACATCTGGGTGCTCCGCCATGCTGACCTGCTGCGCATCACACCCAAGGTCACCCTGGGGCCCATTCCAAGTGTGCCGAGCTAAGGTGCCATCCCGGGGCCAACGGGCCTACCTCCGCGTGCCCTGGAAACCATAACCGGCCCCAGCTGGCAAGAGCATCTGGGGGCAGGCGACCACTGCAAGCTTGGGACATAGGCAGTGTGGAGGGTGGGAAAGAGCCTGGCAACTGCACTCACTGGACGAGAGTCTGCATCATGGCGGGGACAGTTACACTTATGACCTGTGTGTCCCTGTCTGAGGTATTCAATCTTCCTGGGCCTCCTTGTCCTCACCTGTAAAATAACTGGACTAGATACTGCTGAGGTCCCTTCCAGCTCTGGATTTATGATCCTATAAATACTAGGCCTGGAAAGGGCCTTAGAACATGGAATGCCAGAGGTGGGAGGGGCCTTAGAACACAGAATGCCAGGCCTGGGAGGGGCCTTAGAACACAGAATGCCAGGGCTAGGAAGGATCTTAGAACACAGAATGCCAGGCCTGAGAGGGCCCTTAGAACACAGAATGCCAGAGGCAGGAGGGGCCTTAGAACACAGAATGCCAGGCCTGGGAGGGACCCTGGACCATAGAATGCCAGGCCTGGGAGGGGCCTTAGAACACAGAATGCCAGGGCTAGGAAGGATCTTAGAACACAGAATGCCAGGCCTGAGAGGGCCCTTAGGACACAGAATGCCAGGCCTGGGGGATACTTTAGAGATCATCGGGTACAATTCCCCCCTCATTTATAGATGACACTTAAGACACTAAAGCCTAGGGACAGGATGAGTTACCCAACTCAGTTAACAGCACCAAATCACAGAATCAGCCAGCTGTAGGTGCCCAGCCCCGGGGACTACTGAGGCTTTATGCAAGGATCTGTCCACTTTGGAAGCTAGCTCTGACAAATCCTACCCCCGGCAAATTGCTTATAATCCCTGCTGTTCCTGCCAGCTCCTCTCCCCTATCTCCCTGGGGAATGTGGGCCATCTTCCTAGTAAACTACAAGCATCCGAGGTCTCCTGGGGGTATATATTTTGGAGGTGATAGTAACTGGGCCAGGCTCCCTATTGCTTCTAAAATCCAGACTCCTCAGCCTGGCATTTAAGGCCCTTCACAACATGACTCCAACCCACTTTTCCAGCCTTATTCCTCCGAAATACACTCAACATTAGAGCCAAACCGGACTCGTTGGCTATTCCTGCCTTCATGCTTTTACTCAAGCTGCGTCCCCTGCCTGGAATACATTCTCTCCTGAACTTTGACTCTCCAAATCAGGGGTCTTAACCTGTGGTCTGTGAATTTATTTTTTAAAAAAAATTTTGATAATTGTATTTCGGTAAAAATGGTTTCTTGGGGCAGCTAGGTGGCACAGTGGATAGAGCACTGGCCCTGAAGTCAGGAGGACCTGAGTTCAAACCTGGCCTCAGACCAAACACTTGACACTTACTAGCTGTGTGACCCTGGGCAAGTTGCTTAACCCCAATTGCCTAAAAAAAAAAAAAGGTTTCTTGTATGTTTTATTTCATGCCTTTGAAAATCAGATTCTGAGAAGGGGGCTGAGCAAGACTTTTGTCTTGCTACTGGACTTTCATGACTCTGGAGGAGAGAGTGAGGCTGGGTGACTTTGCACAGCCCTGCCTCACTTGAATCCAGTTCACAGGAAAGTTGGAGCGTCACCCTCCTGATGTCATTGGTGCTCTTCGAGAATGAAGGCCAAACAACAACCTGAAAGGTGACTGTGCGCTTCAGCAGGATGACAGCCAAAGGGCTCCCTGACGGAAAAAAGATTAAGAACCCTAGATCTCCCATGATGATTTGTTACATTTTTTTTGTCTTCTCCCCCATTGGGGAGAGAAGGGAGGGGGAAAAACCCAAATGCTTGATAATTAACTTTTTTTCAGTCATTTTCAACTAGAAAAGTTTTAAGCTAAAAAAAAGAATACTTGCTCTAAATTTTTATCTTTATTTGAGGCTTAGCTTAGGGCCTTCTAATTGTTAGTACCCTCGTCCTATTAAAATTCCCATACAATTATTTATGGATATGTTGTCTTTTTCCCAGGGGAGTAAACTCCTTAAAGGCAGGAACTAATTAATGTCTGACTTTGGGTCCTGGGCACAGGGCTTTGCACAGAGTATATATTTAACACATTTGTTGAAGTGGATTGAATTAAAAGAACACTACATTTACAATCAGATGACCTGAGTTCAAATTTGGGTCTGCCATTTATGACCTGACTGACTCGGAGTGTCACTGAGTGTCTCAGTTTACTCATCTGTAAAATGAAAGGGTTCGACTGGGTGATCTCTAAGGTTGCCCCTCCCCATACCTTCGGTGCCAGTGTCTGCCTGGTCCCGAGTCTTGGAAGATAGCATCATCTAGGCAAGATCAGGCTGGCTGCCAGCTATTGGGGGGGGGGGGCGCAGGAAGCTGGTGCTGCCAGGTCGGGGTCTGCTGCTGGGAATAGGGACCCCATGGTTGAAGGCCAGCATCCTTGCCAGTCTACAGTAGTGCCATGGTTAGGGTCTGTGCACTGTCACCGGGTGTGGCATCGGGACTTCAGCCAATGGAAGAACCTCTGTGACCCTTCCCTCTGGACCTGTCCAGTGCTGCCCCCTACTGGTCCTCCAGCAGGGTGGATACCCCTGGTTTGTGTGGAACACCCTTGTTACTATTAAACAAAACACAAGGGGTGGGCGGGGGAGGCGGGGATTGGCCCTAGGCTGGCCACAGTTTGTACTACTGGGAGACAGTTGCCAAGGGAGGGTGCTGCTGCTTGGAGACAGTTGCTAAGGGAGGGATGGTGTATGGGCAGCTCAGGGAGTTCTCCATGCTCTTGGGTTGGGTTGGGCTGGGCTGGGGGCAGAGCTGGGCTGGGCTGAGATGGGCTGGGCTGAGTGACTTGGGGGCCTAGCTAAGAACCCAATGGGTAAGGCTGCTGCTGGAGTCCCCGACACAAGCCAATGGTCCCCAAGGAAAAATAAAGTCAATGACCAGGATGTCAGGGTCTCCTGAGCTGTGGGGTAGGAGGTGGGGAAGCAGGCTGGAATAAGATAGGGCCAGTAGAGGAAAGGGGGAGAAAGAAAATGCCTGACCCATCCTGCTGTCAGTGGCCCAGTGGTCAGAGACTGCAGTGGACCACACCCTTTCAGGCCTGGGAGGAAGGTGCCTGCCCCTGTGAGGCAGCTCTGAGACCCGGGAAAACAGCCCACCCAGGCCCTGCATATGTGAGAAGCTTAAGCTAGTGGATGAAAAACAAAGAGAAAGGGCTGGGATCCTTGTTCCCTATTCTGCCTGCCAAGTACTGGGCCTAGGGTTATTCATCCTGGCTAGTCTACCACTATCATCCCTCTGTAGCTTCAGTGGGGCTCTCCTCTCGTTCTTTTAAATTATGGCTGCACCTCCACTCTCTAGCCAGTGAATAGACACCAGGGGTGGGGAGAGGGGCATTAACAAGGCAGGGCTGTAGAGACCCTCCCCTCCATGTGGGCCTGAGCCAGGTGGGGCCTGGGCACTAAAATCAAGGGCCCTGCTTCTCTGGGGACATAGAAAGGGACAGGGTGGGGCTGGTCACTCCCAGTTGGCCATCTCGACTGGCTCATGGTAGTGCAGACAGCTGGAGTCATTAATCAGCTGTAGGACAGGCCTTTCCCTGCCCCCCTCCCAACACCAAGGAGATTGGGGAAATGGGGAGGGGGAAGAACTCGGGAACAGCAGCCTAAACTGGCGTGTGTCCCCTGGAAGAGTGGCAGTCACTGTTGCTGGCCTACCTGGGGCTAGATCTTCGCAGCAACCCTGAAGCTCCAGCCCAGTCCCTAGGTTGCCCCTCCATCACAGAAGCCGGGCAATGAATGACCTTTGCCAACGCCAGCAGCAGCCTGTCACTATTTGGGCACAGTCCTACTTTCTGCCCCATGCCTGCTCCTGCACCCTGTGCTTTGGCTGGGATTCTCCCGCAGACGCTGCAGGAGTGGGCATGGGACACTTAGCAGGATCGTGCCTGAACAGTGCCACTCCCCAGTGCGATCGGAGTCAGGACGGTGTCCACGTGCCCCGGGGTTTGTCCCAGCGACACCCTTCCCAGCAAGGGAAGCCCCTCAATCCCTTTCCCCTCCACACCCCCCGCCTCCAGTCCCTACCCTGGGACCGACTAGGATCTGGATCTGGCATCGGTGGCCGTCCCAGGTCAATCCCGGGGGTTCCTACTTCACCTCTGGGGCTGTCCCTGCTGCGCGCAGATCAGGCTTGAGCGGAGGGCTACGGCACAGACGGGCCGACGGACGGACGGACGGACGGACTGCCGGACTGCCGGACTGCCGGACCGGGCGGCGGCTCCTCTGCTCCGCTCCCTGCCGGTAGCTCGGCGGGACTGCGCCCGGGCGGCGCTGGCTTATTATCCCTTGTTTCTCCGGGTCTCCATAGAGACATCCTGTCCCACCCCCGGGGAGGGGGGGGGAAGGGGGATGTTCTTTTGCTGACAGTGACCAAGGTCACAGAGAAGCCCCACCCCCAGCCGGCTCCGCCCCTGGGACAAGTGTTCTCTCCCGGACCCCAGTCCCTGGTCCCCGCCCCCTCTTTCTCTGCAGCCCCACTTCTGCCCGGGCCAGAACCCCCTAGTCCTCAACACTGCCCTCTCCCACCTCCCCATCCCCCAACCTCACAGCCCCAGCCGAACCAGGAAGGAGCAGGGTGGGGCAAGGAGAGGATGCGGCGGGGAGGCGGGGGCTGCCTCTTTCCCCTCCCCTCCTCAGCCAGCCCCACCCAACGTCCCCTACCTCCTAAACCCCACTCCCCCGTATTCCCCACTCCCTCTATCCCCAGCCTGGTCCAGAAAGCTACGGAATAAATGAACCGTCTGGGGAAGCTGCAAGCTTGGGAACTAGGAGGGTGTGAGGACCCCAGGAGCCTCCAGGACGGCGCCTACTTCCCCCTCGTCCCCACCCTGTACGTGTGCTTTGCCCAGACTCTCCAACCTCTGGTACCCTTTCCTAGTCCCTCTACTCCCTAAAAGCCTGGGTATTTGTGTAGGCAAGTGGGCGCAGGGTCGGGGACCAGTCCACGCTTTGCTGCTTCTCGCATGCACTATGGCTCTGTACCGTGGGACCTCCGCACTAGCCTTCCCTTTTCAGTGCAATCAGGACTGAGAAACGGCTGCTTCCAGGCGCCAGGAGCCTTTCCCTTTCTTGAGGATCTTCCTACTTTTCCCTGATGGCTTACTGGCTTCAGGATTCAGGCGAGTCAAGAATTGCCAGTAAGACCCTACATCACGTGGGAAAATCATTCATGCCTCTTTCCACTCCCCTAGCATCCCTGAGGGCCATCTCCAGTCGTCCTAATCTATATCTGGCCACTGGATCCAGATGGCTCCTGAGGAGAAAGTAAGGCTGGTGACCTTACACAGCCCTCCCTCACTTAAATCCAATTCACTTACAAGTCATGACATCACCTTCCTCTCCTAGAAGGAAGGACAAACAACAAAAACAATCCCAAGCATCCCTAAGGTGATTCTGGGATTCTAGACTCTCCGGGATCTAGGTCCTTGCCACACCCCCACCACCACTCTCAGCATCTCCCAGACCCCCCCTCCAGGCTCCCCATAATCTTCCCACTCCTTCCATGACAAGCTTTTAGGGCATTGTGGGTTGGTCCAGCCCAGGAAAGTTTAGCCCAGGTTAGTCCTGTGGCCAGACTGAGAAAGAAAGCCACAACAAGCATTAGCAAAGGCATAAAAAATTTATATTATGAATCATGATTAATCCACAGAAGGAAGGGTGCTGCTGCTGCTCATGATTAAAGGGGGGAGGTAGAGCCCCAGGAAAAGGGGAGGAAAGGAGGGTTAAAGTCCCAAGTGCTCACCCATCCCCCAATCCCCTGGGGCACTCCCCTAAAGTGAATTCTGTGCTGTTGTAAGGTGCTGGCAAGTCTAGCTTTCCAGGCAGCAGCTCCTCAGATCTGCCTCCTTTCCTGGGTGCTGTCCCACTGGCCAGTTCCCAACCAGGCACTGCAGTCTTTTTCAGGAGGTGGAACACTTCAGGGCCCTGGGGCTCAGCTCTTGGAGTTGGGGGAGGGGGTTGCATAGACCGGGGGCAGGGTATAGGAGGTAGGTACATGACTGTGTAGAGCCCAGGGAACCTAGGACTCTCCCGCCCACCTTCAACAAGAGGCCACTCACTCCTTTTAGAGGAGGGCTCTGCTACTGGGCATAGTCCAGGTAAAAGAGTTACCCCCTCAGTGGGATTGGGGAATCACTTTGGCCTTAAAACTTGGCCTAGGATTCAGATTACCCCATAGATCATTTGAGGATGGCAAGCTTCAGCTCTCTAAAGCCCACGGTCCATTTAGGGGGGAGAGCCAGGAGGCTGGGTCAGGTGGGTGGCCCTATAGCCCTATAGCACAGTGCAGCTGGGGCTTTGCCTCGTGGCACCCATATTGGGGAACATTCTTCTTCCTGGGGAGTGGCACACTTCTTCAACTTGCCTCACAGTCCTTCTTCGGTAAGGCTGCCAACTCCAGGGTCCTGTTGCTGTGGTATGAATGCTCCCAAGGCCTGCCAGGTGTCATCCTCCTCAATCCTTGGAAGGACAACTCTGCAGGAAGGGTCATCCCTCCAGGTGCAATTGTCCCATTGCTGGGACTATCCTTTGGTCTAGTCTGCCACTGAGCCTCTTCCTGCTCTGACCTCAATCCCAACCTCTCACTCAACTGAATTTGCCTCAGGTTTAGTTTCAGCCAGTTAGGCTCTGGCTGGACTCCAGGGGGAGAGTCACAATCTAAGGAAGAAGGCAAAGACACAGGGCGAGGGCAGGAGGGCGCCACCAGCACCTACCTCTGCCAGGTAGATCAGCAGCAATGCTGGGCGATAGGGAAGGACCTAGGTCATGCTCACCTCTGGTCAGTTCTTCAGATTGGCACCAGCACATTGCTGCTCTCTGAGGGAACCAGGGGGCTCCCCGCTGCTTTGGCTCACAAACACAGTGGGCATTTTGGCCATAAGTTCTAGCTCCTGTTCATAATCCCTGCCCTGAGGGCATCTCTTGCCCAGGCTAGGAGCTTGGGGGAGGTGATGTCGGGGAAGGTCCAGGCCACTGTAAGGGGGTGGGCGGCCATCCTCAGCTGGGGTGCTACTGCCCAGGCGAGTCTGGGCCACAGGGATCTCCTCCATGGACTCTGCTGACTCAGAGTGGTAGTCAGCTGGAGGACCAGCCGCCTGGACAGAAGTGTCTGGGCCCAGGAAGACTGGCACAGGGAGGTGAAGGCTGGAATTGGAGGAGTGGGATGAAGAACTCATGGCACCAGCCTCAGGGAGCTCTGAGGGAAGAGAGAGGGGGAGTGGTCAGGGAGCTGCACAGAGGGGCCAGAGTGTGCTCAGGGGGCTCTCCCCACCCCTCAGCTCAGAACAATGCAGACTCAAGAGGGAAGCAGACCTGCCTAAAGGTTCAGCTCAGTGATTAGAGCAAATGTGCCCTTTTCCCACTCTTTGAAATTAGGCTGAAATGACCAGAGATGGTTAGGAAGGAGAAAGGGAGTGGCAGAATGGTTGGGGGGAAGGGCAGAGATGACCTATAAGGGTAGGCCACAGGAACTAGGGTGTGACCTTCCCCAAAAGAACATGGGTCTCAGCCCATGTCCCTTGAGGATTAAGTGAAAGGAAAAGGCTCAGGCTGGAGCAGGAGTTAAGGAAAATGGAAGTCCTGTGGGCCGTTGGCCTTCTCACTTCCAGGGAAGACCACGCTGGCTCCTGCTGCCCTTTCCCCCTTGGCCCAGGGTTCGTGGGGTTCTCTTGCTCTAGATGGGCCGTTAGGGCAGGGCGGGACCCCGGGTAAGGGCCCAGGGTGAGGAGGACTTCTTACCAGGGCAGGGGGCTGGCAGCCTGGGTCGGGGTGGGGGGCGGCCCTGAGACTTATCACTGGCTACCAAGGCTGGCACCTTGTACACTTTCCTCTTCTTCTTCTTCTTCCTCTTCTGGAAAGGCAAAGAATAAAGAGTCCTAGTGCCCTTCTCCCATTCCCTCCCATTTCCCTGTGCTCCTCTCATAAACTCTCTCATGTTCCTGAAGAGAATGTACAGTGAGGCAGATGGGGAGTTAGGAATATGCCCCACAGCCTCACTGAACTTCTAGGTAGGAGGGCCGGGCCGTAGCTCTGGGGTTGGGGATCACAGGTTCAAGCAGTAAAGGTTAGGAAGGAAATCAAGAGTCCCAGGGCTACATCGTGCACTCACAGTAGAAGAGGATGGCAGTGAGCTCCAGGGAAACCAGGACCCAGGGGCAGGAACACAGAGTCAGTCTTAACTTGGGTGTCAACTGGGCAGCCCTGGGGGGAAGCCTGGGCCTATGGGGATGGAGTGCCCTGGCCCTGGGGTAAATGCCCAGCTCCTCAGAACATGAGGGCACTGCCCATGCCTACCTGTGGCTGGATCTTGGGTGGCAGCACTGGGGTGTCAGGGGAGGAGGGCAGCGTAGGCTCCGCACTGGTGACAAAGAGCGTGGAACGGCTGGAAGCAGAAGGAAGGGGATGGGCGTCAAGGCTGGTCCCTTAGTCCTCTTCCCTTTCTCCCACCCCATTGTGCAGCTGCCTCCATGAGCTGAGTAAGGGCTTGGGGGAAAGGGGAGCTGGCAGGAAGCCAGCTAGTGGTGGAGGCGTTACTAGAGCACTACAGCAGGATTCAAGTCTTCCCCCTCCCCCTCATTAAATCCAATAAACTCTCAGCCTCAGGTTCTTCTGTAAAATGGGATCAATAACCCTTGCAGGCCCTAGCCCACAGGGTGGTTGTAAACTTTAAAGCACCATAGAGATGGGAGTTATTCTTACTAATCATTGTTGCCCAGGATTTCTTGCTGAATAACCCTCCTGAGAGGGTCTAGGGGTGCTAGGGGCTACTTTCTTCAGGACCCTGGAGGCCTACCCCCCGGCTGCCCATAGGCACCTCAGATCAAGCTGTGGAGAGAACTATGGCCTCAGAGGTGACCACTCCATGCCAGGATGGGGCCAGGCTGGGCCTTCTCCATTCCTGTCAGCCTTAATTAATGTTCATTCAAGGAAGCATCCCCAGCTCTGAGACCTGCTTTGACCTGCTCTATTCAGACAGTGTCTCAGGACTCCCTTCCTTGTGAATTCCTCTTTCCTTTAAGCTGACCTGTCCATCCCTGGCTTTCCTACCCAGTACCAGGCCCCAGCTGCACTCTGGACTACAGTGGAGGATTTATCTCAAAGAATGGAGATGGACCAGGTCGGGTGGCCTTGGGAGATTCCATCCTTTTGGAGACAGCCCCCAGGCCCTGGGCCTGTCTGGGGCCAGGGCTCCTCCACTCCTCCCTCCCTCCCCTCCCCTCAGCATCCTGGCTGCTCCCTGGGGAGCTGCTCTGCTAATCTCCTGAGCTACCTCAGGCCAGCTCTGGTTGCCACAAGTAGAGGCCCGC